TACCTTAAAAGGAATGGCGTGTGTCTGTCCTTGTGTGTGTGTGTGTGTGTGTGTGTGTGCGTGTGCGTGTTTATGTACAAGCAAGCGAGTTGCTAAGTGTCTGCATGCATGTAGGCGGATCAGGACCGTGTATTTTAATGTGCATGTATTTGTTATCCAAACAAAAGTCAACCTTGCTCTTCTTCCTAACCACTCATGTATTGATAAATTGAAATATTTGTAAAGACATATATTATAATATATATATAGACTTTTTATCCACCTTGTTTGGATTTGTTTGCAAAGCTGTCCATTTTTCCTTTATATTCAGGTAATAAACATACAATTAGATGTAATCTGCATGAGAAATAAAGAAATAAATCACTTGTAATAATTTTCCACTTATAGTGATCAATTTGACCAAGACAGATGTTATCACTTTAATAGGTTCCAATTGAACACAAACTGAACTCCTCACAATTAATGTCAAAGACAACGTGGTCATTTCTTAGCCGGCAATCTGGCATCTAATAATCTTTCATATTCGACACAGACATTACATTTTTTTGCTAATTGATGACATCAGTGTCAGTGATAGCAAATTTAAATAATTAAGCAAGAATATTCACTTAAATTTATTGATTTAATTCAATTTAATTAAATTTTTACAGCACAAGTTCATAACAGACGTTCTATCATTGCATTTTTCATATAGAGCAGGTCTAGACCGTACTCTTTGTAATGTCAATCAACGTTTGACCAGGAGAATTAGTGAGTTGTAACAGCAGAGACAGAGAAGATAGACAGCAGTGGCTGCTGTGGTCTCTGTAGAGTGCTGATGCAGAACACTGTTTGCTCTGTTGTCCATAGTAACAGTGATTCAAATATCCCTTGAGACCTTGTATGAGTCAGACAGAGAACATTTTGCCTCTGATAATATTTAGACAATGAAAAAGCCCTGCGGTTGTTATGTGAGCACCTTAAATTCAAGGATTATTTTTAGAATTACATCAATTTCACCATAGGTCAAGAATATTCTTGTGTAATCTTTAATAATACTAATAATAATTTGCCAAAGCAGAAGACACTCTTGACCTGCTTCCTGCCTGTTTTAACATTCCTGTCTCACTTGCTTTTCCTCGGTAGGTCTTAGCTGTTGACCAAAATCTTTACCCTCTGTCTGCTGGGACTTCTTAATTGCATCTTCTGTGTTGTGCCTCCCTCTGAGAGACTCCTCAGACAGTTGTTGGCTTGTCCGAGCAAATCAGTCTCTCACACACACACACACACACACACACACACATCCAGAAAGAAAGTTCCTTCTTTCTAGCCAACTTTTCCATGAGGTATGATTCACGCTACTCTTGGAGGAAAGAAATGTTAGCAACAGACCTCCTTCTCATTGAGGAGAGCACACATACTCAGTCACCATTCCTCTGGCACCTGTCAGTAAACACACACACACACACATACAAGTGTAGACTTCTCCGTTGCCAGTAAGTGGGAGGAGAGAGGAAGGTAACACAGGGGCACTAATGAACTTACCATCTTTTTCCCCAAGCTTCCAGTCTCTTGCTTTGTAATCAGGCAGGGAAACCCAAACAGGGTTTGCTGATATTATCATAATTTCCACAGAACAGTGGGCTGAGTCAAGTTTTAAGAATGTAAAACAACAAAATGTTCCAACATTGTCTCTGATTATTTATAAGGGTTCTTGTAATCCTTGAAAGTCTAATAAAAGATTGAAACATTTTAAAAATGTGACTAAAAAACACCCAAATTCATCATAGGCCGATAAAGTGGCTATTGATATATTGGCTAATATTAGCTTATTGCAGATTTACACTTATTTATCTGTCAGTGTACATATCAGCCGATAAGTAACAAGAAATTGCAGGAATATAGGTAATTACATAGTTTGTCCAGCAGAGAGCCCTGACAGGAAGATTTTTAGACAGTAAAATTCTGTCAGTATGTACACTGGTCAAAATTAAAACAAAATAACAAACAAATCTAAGGTATCTGTGATTAAATGTATTTTTGTCAGGTTATAGGCCTATTCTCTATCATTATTACTTTACATCATGAGAAATGTTAATGCACTGATATAACAGTGGCTTTTACAATAAATTAAAGGACCACAAGGTTACAACAAGCATAATGTTCAAACTTGACCAACATTTTGTGGATCCATAAAGCCAATCCATAAAGCCAAGAGTAAGTACTACAGTATGCTTTTCATAATTTTAAGGTTTAAGTCAAAAGAGTTTTGCTGTTCACAGAAACACCATTAGTAAGTTGGGCAGAGATGATTGATCTTGATTCAATAGTACATGCTTTAGTGACGTATAGAGCTGATATGATCCTGGACCATGTTGTAATTTCCCTTTTTGTATGACCTCATCTGGTACCAGGATGCTGTGCACTGCTGTTTTCTCCAGGAACACGAATATACATTGTAAAATTTGAGATTAATACACTGCTTTTGCCAGGGACATATACTATGAGGTTTTTATGTACTGTATGCCACTATTACATCATTCTGACAAAATCAATGTAATCAATGGAAAAATGTTCTCATGCATTCAAAAATATCCCTCATTAACGTTATTATAGCAGCTCAGCCTAATTTTGTGTGCATGTGTGCAAAGCAGGTGCAGTATTTATTTCCGTTTAATTGTAATACTCTCACAACTGAGAACCTCATGTTGGTATATTGTTGTCGTAGAAATGTCAGCTGTTTATCCATCTAAACTTGCCCACCCACCAGAGACAACATGAGCAGGTGGTTACCATGGTGACAGAGCGCTGTGTTTATCTGTTGCTGTGCGGGGAGAAGAGGGTGTTGTGTGGTGAGGTGGGTATCTGTAGGACTGAAAGCTGCAGTGGCTGGTAGCCAGAGAACGGTAGATGGAATCTGGAGAGAGGGAAAGGCCAGCCCAAAATAAACCCATACAGAGTGGATCGGCCAGGCCCACACCACACACGGCACCAGATAAGGAGGCAATGTCCATTTTATGATAGGATCGTGTGGCAATATTTAAACTGCCTTGGCAGAGGTGCTGATCACATGATCTAAGCAGATGCTTTTTTTTTCTTTAAGAAGTTGATATCATTATTGAAATACATTTAATAATATGATTAATATTACAAGTTACTAATTGCGTAACACTACAAAACCCACCTTCACAAACATCAGTTTAAAGCTTTATGCTATTTGACATTGACAGTGGCAATCCAAGACTTGTCTCAGTCCTTTTTCAAGAAAAAAACAGGTGAAGCTACATTGGAAACAATTTTTTTTTTAATGCTCTCTTTTCCCGCGCTCTACTCTACTATGTTTAATAAGTAATGTGTATACAATCGCCTCCGATGTCCTGCATGTCAAGATGCTGAGATGCAAGACACTTCTCTGTGAAGTGGGTGGCCACATTTCAAGGACTATGTTATTCATTAGAATGCAAAACATGCAGGCTACAGGGGATGTAGTCCTTGTTGCTCGTGTTACAAAAAATACAACCATAGAGCGTAGAACCAGCAATGATTCAATCTGAAGTGACAGCTTGGAGAAAAGCTCACTTGTGTCAGAAGTGATGCATACGTTTAATCACATTGTGATGGTCATTCATTTGACCAGTTATTGCGGCCTTATTAAACAGTTTATTTTCACAATACTCTCAATAAGTATGTGTTAGATAAACAGACATCTGCTATCAGCAGTTTCAACTGTTTCTGTGGGAGATTCAGTCTGTGTGTCAACAAACACATTTCGTGACCTTATCACTCCACTCAGTCAATATTGGACAAAACTAGGACTAGGTGACAATAAAAAAAATTTTTTGCTTTTATCTTTAGGATGAAATTCAGGTTTTGTACCTTATGCTGTTAACATATAAAGCCATCTACACTATGACCCAATTTGCAGACAACGTGATATACTAAAATATGATGAAGACACAGACATCAATCACAAGATGCTTACATTTTGTCTTTGTTTTTTTTTTTTTATATTTGAGGTTATATAAAATATCTACTAACCCTCACTGGTAACCCTCATATAATGGCACAGGTGACTTAATCTCATAATTCTATTAAAATATATATTTTATTTTATAATGTGGATCTACAATCTGAATTTCTGGTACCACAGTACTGTGAAACAATATGTAAATATGGTTGCTGCAGTACTAATTAATTGCCAGCTGTCAGCATTTCAGCTGTATAGTTTGGTATTTGTGCATAGATATAGATATTCTTTGAGCAGGTGAGAAATTGCTGAACTGCTGTACTGTGCATTATATGGTTAAATTGAAACTGCACGAACCATAGTATTTCCAATGAAGTGAAAGTAGCATAAAATCCCCCCAAGGTCTACTCTGTTTAATGTAAGATTTGATTGAAAATTATGCCTTTAAGTCACAACAACAAAAGTGTATGTGTTTCTTTACAGAGAAACGTTAGCTAAATGGCAGGAAATTGTACTTGTGGTTAGATGTAACAGCCTGTTGGCTTTAGTTTCAATATGACTGTGAGGCTGCAGATAATATAGGTTTTCTTTTAAGCCCCACAGCTTTATTATTACTTAAGAGATGTGGTATGCAATACATGTGACCACACCAGCCTGTGTCCATATTTCTAAGACTTTAAGCATAAAATAACTGGGTGTAGCCAAGATGTCCGTTGATTGTTGGCATATAATAAAACCACTAGATGGCACTCTACACTAGCTCCAAGCATTGAAATGTTGTATGGGTAGATGATGCATGAATCTGTAAAGTATCATGCTCATATTTTCAATTTCCTTTCTCTGGCTGATAATTTTCACAGGACATATTAAATTAAATTCCATAATTTACATTAATCATACAATACAATCAGTGAAGCACCATGTCTGCTAACATTGTACTGAATGTCATATTGAAAATGAAAATGTCAAATCACAAATTGTCATCACTTACTATTATGCTGCTGTGGTTTAATAGTAGTCTGTTGTTCTTATTTTTCCTATTATGCTCCCTCAGGACCAAGTGAAGCCACCAAAGACATCCAAACCCAAGACAGCAGTAGCTGAAGGTGAAGCAGTGGAGGGCCTTGAGCAGATACCTGAGGAGGGACTCCCAGACAAGCTCAATTCAGATGAGGAGGTGGAGATTGAGGAGATTGTCGAGGAGTCTCGTACCAAGCGTCTCCAACGCAGCACCAAGCAGCAAGTGGACAACATAAAGAAAGCCTTCTCCAAAGAGAAAATGGAGAAGACCAAGCTAAAGACCAAGGAGAACCTGGAGAAGACCAAGCAGAGAACCCGAGAGAACCTGGAGAAGACGAGACAGAGAACCCGTGACAACCTGGAGAAAACCAAGCACAGCCTGGAGAAGAAGATGGGCAAGCTCGGGTCCCGCCTGACACCCAACCAGGAGCGCAGGGTGAAAATGAAGAGCTCCAAAGACAAGGTGAAGAAATCCCTCACCCCTGACCACACGATCTACGCTCGCTCCAAGACCACTGTGTACCGCGTGCCCCCCTTCACCTTCCATGTTAAGAAGATCCGAGAAGGTGAGGAGGAAGTGGTGCAGAACACGGAGATGGTGGAAGTAACCGAGGCCGAGGGCCAGCCAGGAGGAGAGGAGAATGGGCTGGGTGAACATGTGGAGGTGGAGGAAGGGGAGCTGGTGAGTGTAGACAGCCCAGAGATGGAGGCTCTGTTGGAGGTGACTGAAGACTCTCAGCTGGTCAGGGTGGAGCCAGACCACCTAAAGAAGGCCCAAAGCGAGTAGAGCATCCCAGCTCTGCAGGGCTGTGAAGGGAGAGATACAAGGATGAAGAGGGGAACAGAGTCTTGAAGAATGAGTCTAATCACAAGGACATAATATTAGTTGTATAGGGACTTTCTAGACATGATCACAATCTATGACATCTCATTTGTTTTCTCTCTTTTTACTGCACCCAACAGGGATGACTTTCATATTCGCTCCTCTTTAGCATACAAATGAGAAAACAAAAACAAGGCTAGCTTTTGAAACATGCTGCAGGCTGAATGATTATCCTAGACTTGTATGTTTGTAGGTACTTGCTGTTGTTGGTTTGATAAAATGAGTGGCTATAAGAAAGAATGGTATAAATAGTCTTTGTTATTGAGATGTAATGTGTAATATAAAATTTGCCATGTGTGATATGCACATTAATAGGTATGATAAGAGGAAGTTGTTGGCAAGATTAATGTTTTAATGGATGGTTTTAGTGATGTAATGTACACATGTGAAACACAAAAGTGAACAAGTAGGCAAGCTTTAGGACTACAGAAGAACTGAGGAGGCATGGAGATGAGTGGGATTAGACTTAAAAAATTTTTTCCTGGAGCAAAGTGTTTACAAAAACATTACCCCTGATATGCAAAAAGCATTAGACATAAAGCTTTTGTACTGCCAGTCACTCTGGCATTGTGCCAAATGCTACAATATAATGATTCTCATCTGTTTTTATCAGGAACGCAGGAAATAACTTCAACTATCAGAATATTGTATATTTACATAACACTTACAGACACCGATACACTAAACAGCTGAAGTTACTGTTGTGGCCTTGACACGATCATTTTAAGACCTAATGTTTTACCTTTCTAAAGACAAGGCTGCATGCCAGTATCCTGTATGAACACTTTTTTTGATCTTATCTGAAAAGATAGTGATAAAGGGTCATGAAACCTGAACAGAATCAGTAGTCCACCACTGAGTTTTAAGTTATAATGTATAATGTGGGAAACTATCTCTCTCTACTCTATTTTTTATGTGTTGCTCATTCAAACTTTCAGCTATAAGGAAATTTTATATGTAACCTTTGCTGTGGCACATCTTTACAATGCATGCTTGAAAACATGGTTTAATCATCATTTACTGTAATGCTTTGATGTACTGTATATTCACCATGCTATATTTATTTCATCTGGATATACTGTACTCACCAAATTCCACATAGAAGACTTCTGCACAGAGGAAGAAAATCGACTGTCACCATGGTCACAGCTCATCACAGTACATTTGCACGTCCCTCTTAAATTTTCCCTGGGTAATTGCACGCCAGAAAATGATGGTCTGAAGAGCAAGATGACAGTTTAATGACTGACTACATAACATGTGGAGATACAAATGTCATCCTAAATGCAGTCGAAGTGAGATAGCACACTGCCAAGTTTTATGAATGCCGTGGCGCTTTAATAAATGTCAGAACCTCTCCAGCTCCACTATCTAAATACAGCAGAAATGCCAAAAATAATTATCTAAAAAAATAAAATGAAATCAAGGTCAGAACTCCAGAACAGCATGATCCAGCCCACAAAAGGCCAGGTACAATCTTGCATAGTTCCTATGAATTATAAAAGAAATGTCCACACTTGTCTGATCATTATTCATAAAATTAGGTTTACGTAAGTGAGAGGACAATCGTGCAGGCCAAGAGAAAGCTATGATAATTGGATTTTTATTCATCTGTGCCTGATGTAGACTGGCAATGGCAATGTTTTCTTTTGATCATGAACAGCAAGCAAACAGGGCTCCGGACAGGAAGAAGGTGATTGTATGGCTTCCATTTTTCTCCCCAGAGACTGCGTGTGATCTTGATGTGGTGTAGGCATGCAGAAGCCCACTGTGAAGCATGGAACACTACTATAATAATCAATGGAGTGGGGAATTCAATTAAGGAGAGTGCTCCCTCTGAGCACTGAGTAGGATATAGAACAACGGAAAGGACGTGTATCTGTCTCTCTGTGTGTGACTGTGTATACCATATTCCCACACTGACATTTTGGTGAAGCTCCAAGTTTATGTCCACATCAAATGGAAATCCAGGCCTGTGAAATCATATATTGCAGTATTATCTCGCACATCAAACATTGAAACACTTGTAAGATATTGGACCCTTTTAGAAAACAAACATGTGTTTTTGCCACCATGTATATTTGCCTTGTTTTGAGATAGTAGGTTAAAAAACTGAACCAAGCTGCCATAAACGCGAGCTAGGCCAGAACTTATATACTATAGGTCACAGCTTATACAGAGATATTTTGAAAAAAAAAAAAGATCAGTCACGCTGCTGCAACACAACCATGACACATAATTGCTCTTGGTGTTATTGATTCATACTGAGATAATGAAGCTTGCCTTGTCTTTTGTGTTGAAGGTCTCTTCTGCCTGAACACTTACAATATAAATAAAAGCTTACTGAATAATACTGCCTATTATTTTTGTTTACTTTACTTATATATTTACTTATATATACCTAAGTCCACTATTTGTGTTTCAGCTTATATATTTTACTTTATCAGTTTATCTACTGTGGGAAGAGGCTTGGGTAGGAGAGGTCAATAATGAACAGCTCTGGTGTTATTAAACTCTTGATGACGTCGCCACTGCCAGTAACTCAGATGACTTCCAGGCTGGCTGTTCCGTCGAAGTGTTCGTCCTCCCTCTGCAGCCAACAAGCGCACGGTGCTTCTCTGTGGGCCACCCGCAGGGAGGGGCTGCTACGTGGAACAGCGCAATTGCGACAGCAGTAAACACGACGCTCTCAATCGAACCCGACTAAAGTCCCGCCTCTTTTGTTCACAAGCTGCATTATGATTGGCTACAGCAGAGTTGACGACTCGTATTGGTTGTTTGAGTTGTCATTGAAGCAGTTTGTCAGGTTTGTCTGGCCGGAAAGACTGCAATGTAGTGTTTGGTGTGAAGGGCTGTGCACGCATCGGAGAAGTGTGCTGGCAAGAAAAGAAACACGGTTACGATCTTTTTCCGTGTGTTCTCCCTCGCTTTTCAGTAGTCACATTTTACGAAAGTCGTTTCTGATAGTTTGTGTCACTGTTTTTTAGCAGAGTCTTTTTACTGAGAAACTTTCCAAAGAAGTGACAACGAGTTTGGTAAGCGACTAACATTACAACGACTTCTGCTTTTGGCCTATATTAACATTTAACGTTATGCATGGTGAGCTCTTCTATCCATAACGCTTCTGAAATACATTTGCAGTACTATGACTGGGTTAACTTATAAGTTATTCATGCAGGAGAAAACATTCTGTGTCCACGGTGTTACATAAGTTATGAAAGTGTTATTAGTTACTACGTTTTTACATGTAACATTAGCTAACTCAACTGTTCTTGCTCCGTATGGGGCTGATAATGTCATAACCAAGGCTCTGGGTCTTGTGAATGTATGTTTTCTAGTTTGCTCATGTGATATCTAGATCGCCTGTTTTAATAATGGTCATAAATGCGTCAGTTGTGAAACCGGAGTGAAAAAGGCTCAAACTTTACAGAGATGCATATTTGGACCGAGTGAAATAGAGTTTTGTTTTGTGTTTGCCTTAAATTGTCACGCCCATCTCCATCCTATCTGCAGGCCAGCATGTTGACACCCTACCTCACAGTGGGATAATTAAATTCTTCCATTCCACAAATTTGACTTTTAGGGATTAAAAGTCCAGACCTTGACAAAATCCTAATTTTGAGGTGAATAGAAGAGTTTGATTTTTCAAAATAGCATCCTTAGTGCTGATAGTATAGCTGTGAAGTCATAGTGAAACAGACTACTACACTGTTGACTGTGACAAATGAAATGTTTTAGAGTCATAGCATGACTGGCATGAAGTAGAGAAGGTTATGACCTAATTACATTTATAATATTACTCTTTTGTCACCTGTGTATACAGAGACAATAAAGTTAGCATGGGTACTGTTTTCTTTGATCAAGGAAGTACTTCCTGGAATATCAGTGACATGTTTTAAGGAATCAGATTTTTTATCAGATGCTTTACTGTTGATGCCACATTACTATAGAGCATTGCAAACTAACACCACATATCTGGCTGGCCTGGCAATTTTCTGGCAATGGCTGCTTTATTACAATGAGATTGAGTTTCAAAGTTCAAACAAAGACAAAAATGTTAAAGATGTGGAGTTCGGATCAATATATGTGAAAAATTAGCATCTTTCAAAAGATCCCCAAGGCTATCATTGAGACAAAATGTCTAATGTAATTTGACCACCAGCCAATATGTTCAGATTTGGTGGACACATTGAATGTATGAACTTGCCTTCCAAATTAACATTTCCCTTTTATCTGTAAACTATAAACTAGTTAGCTGTTAGCTAGAAGCCAGTGGGTATGTGGCTTTAACTCAATGCCAAACATTGTTTTAAAATAATTATTACTTAATAATAAAAGAGTAATGTGACACTTCTGTAACTGTACGCACTGGTTAATTGATACTCTTGAGAACTCACAGAGGGACTCTACCATATGTCAGAGCAGTCCAGCCACTTGATTTTTGTGGGTAGTTTATTGATAACTTTGTAATTCAATGGAATAATTAAAAAGTCATGATGAACGTAAGGCAAGGCAAGTTTATTTGTATAGCACATTTTAACAACAAGGTAATTCAAAGTGCTTTACATAAAACATAAAAGCAACAGGGAAATATAAAAAAGTTTAAAAGCAACATAAAATATAATAAAAGTTACAGTGTTACAATCAGGGTTAAAAGAGTTAAATGGAAATATTTAATTAAAAGCAATGATAAAAAGCTAAAAACAAAGAAAAAGAAAACAGGACAGTAAAAGTAACAGTGCAGTGTAAGTTATCAATAAAAAGAAAAATCTTAAATATTTAATTAAAAGCAATGTTAAAAGAGAGAACGTAGTGGAAATTAGATTATACAGTAAAAGTCACACTATGCCAAGAGGTTTGTAAATTTAACTTAAGGAGCCTCTTGGTCTCCTATTTACTTGGCAAGTCTGGCTTCTTAATGTATCAGAGAATTAATGCAGCAATAATAAGTAATATAAGTAGGCCGTACTAATTGAGGTTATGCTAAAATGAAAGGAATCCTCACATTATTGAAGATGACTCTGCATCCTCTCAGGGTTTTCACATGGCCAGGAATTCACACCATGTAGATGCACCTTTTTCATATATCAGAGAAAGAGGAACGTGGGTCACGTGGAAACTGTCGAGTTGGATGGACAATTACTGTTTTGTGCTTTACATGCTTAAAAAAACCTTACCCACAAAATGTCAGTGAAAATAATTGATTTAACTAAATTCTTCTGGTTTATTTGGGAAATTGACATTTGATTTAGGTGAAACTTAACACAAGTGTGTTTTTGTTTGAAGTTGCCATTATTCAAAACATATGAGATAGAATCTTACACTGAGTTAGCAGTTTATTAGGTATACTTGAACAATATTATCGAAGTCCGTTACAATAGATAATACATTTACACACTGAGCATTTTGAGTTGTCAGACACAGGTGTACTTAATAACACTGGTAATGGCTTCATTCATTTTAGCTGTGAGGCTATCATTAATGTTATTAGTTACACCTGTGCTTTTTATGCTACAATATTTCCGAATGTCTCTGTGGTGGGAAAAGAAGTTAAACTATTATCTTGCAATAAAGTATACACGTTCAGACACTGTGTAAGGTAAAGGTTGATTAATTTTATAGTAATTGTTAAGGTTTTGGTTAGGATTTCATTATATTGTGAGGAGTACTGACTAATTAATGAAGGAGATTCTCAAATGCAGCATGAGTGAGGCAGAAACATGGACAAATGTAGAATGCAAATTTAGGTTCTCGTTTTAACTTTTTCAAAATGTTAACAGCGCTGTCTGTGATATCTGTGCCATATCTGCGTTACCTAGGATCTTCTGTTCATTATCTAAATTCTTCCTAAAACAGTATTGTGCAAAGTTGGTGTACAACAAGTAGTGACTACTGACTTTTGATGATGACAGTATCTCAAAGTTATGTAAAAGAGTCTAAACAAAGGCTTCAGCTGTTCATTTAATATGAATGCTGGGAGACAACTTTCTGTTGGCTTTACTGCATGTCTGGTTATTGTTAGTGTACAGTATAGAGCCCTCAGGGGAATGGTGCAGCCTGCTGTTGGTAAGATGAGAAGGATAGCGGAACCAAGATGAGAGTACCTTGTTCAAGTTGCATTGTGCCCCTCAGAAAATTAATATGGAGGAAATGATAAAAAAAACTAGTCTTATATATATGTCGAAGAATATGTTTCTCTGGTTTCAAATCCATTCCTTCAATAGCTTTTCAACATCCAAGAAAAGGAAGTGTGGTTTTCATTGTTTCTAGTGAAGGCAATTGGGGCAAAACCTCAGCCAAAGATCATTAATTACTATTTGCTAAGCATCTTGACAGCTGTTCATGTCAGCCTGTATTTCTTGGTGGAGGCGTAGTGTTTCGCTGAACAGGAAGTTACTCTGCTGAATAGGAAGCCTCCCGAGGGCCTCTCATCATTTTCAGTGAAAACCTGACATTTAGCTGTTTCTCTCTGGTCAATGTCAAAGTTGTTCTGTTAATGCATTAACACTGTTATTTTTTAATATTTAGCAGCATGTGCCTTCCTAGAAATGTGCTATGGATATTCTTCTGCTTAATTGATATTGTTACCCCTGCCATTTTTATGTAGGTTTGAGGACGTGTATGTCAGGATGGCCCAATGGAACCAGTTACAGCAGTTGGAGACCAGGTATCTGGAGCAACTTTACCACTTGTACAGTGACAGTTTCCCCATGGAACTACGGCAGTTCCTTGCCCCCTGGATTGAGAGTCAAGACTGGTGAGAAATAATTGAATTCTCTGTTATGAAATGGCACATTTTGTTTCCCCTGTTTGCTAACATGTGCCATTAAATTGCTTTTATCCTCCACTCCCTCCAGTCTGGCAGTTGGCCGCTCACAATGACTCGCCACACAGAAAGCTTTTGTGTTTTAACATTCATTGTTACCCTCCTCCTTCTCATGCCTTTTACTTTCCTCATGACACCATTACAGGGATCCATTGCATATTATGTAACACAGGGCACTTGAACAATTCTGTAATATTAAGATAACAGTGTCTGGCATCCAGCATTTGGTCTTTCTCCAAAGATCATTGCCACCATCACCTAGTCAGCTTTCACAGGTTGTCTTATCACTGTGAATTTTGATGTAGACCTGGATTCAGATACATGAATTGTCAAACAAAAGATTTTCTCCTTGTAATGTCCCTCCAGTGGTATACAGGATGTTTTGATCCAGAAAGCAGTTGTGACCTTTTACCAGATCTTAGAAAGAACTAGAAGCAATCATATCCTGTTATCTTCTCCTTTACAAGGGCTTATGCTGCCAATAAGGAGTCACACGCCACACTGGTGTTCCACAACCTCTTGGGAGA